GCGGACGTTACGTAATACCAGTTTAGAGTAGAGATATTAAATGTCTCGATTACACCCTTTCTCCATTACACCATCAATATCTCACATTTATCTTTAGGTTCAAGTATTGACCGTGCAGCGCTAGAGAGCAATTTTTGTAAATATTTGCATGGAATGCCGGATATATCGCTCCTATCGCGTGTAGAATGTAGATACATTTGTTCTGCCGGCAGACCGTGTCCAAGAAGTCTATCAACCGTTTCAATGTCCTGTGTAAAATGGCAGGCGTTAGTACACTAATTGAAAACACAAACCAAACTCAACTATGCGATTATTCATTGCGGAATCGTTCAATCGAACCTTATAAATCACTCGTTATAACATTTTGTTACATTGCGCGCCGATAAGTTAACGATTTCGCCCTACATCCTCGGTAATATTCTCAGTCCGCGTCGTTCGCAAGTCGAGCATTCTCACCCGCTCCGTGGAACGTCCGTCACGTTTGTAAATGAATTGAATCCCCGAAATTTCGTGTACGTCGCGCACGTTGAAACGATACGCGGATCTAAATAACTCGCAATCGGATTTCTGTTCTGCGCGGCTGCATTTCCGCTCGGCGTGATGTAACGCCACGCCGCATTTTCCGGCGCAGTGGCGAAAATCCATCGCGCGTGATTCCAATGCGCACTCGCGGCAGAGTGCACCCCGATAGTGCGTTTTAAAGGCCAGCGCGCGGCGACGGACTCGGTCAGGCTGCGCTAATGCGCTTTTGTCACGGAGCAACGAAGTGCATTGCCGCGCGACACCGCAGTATTTTTCTGTTTTTTTCCCTCCTCCTCCTACCCCTTCGATTCCTCTTTCGACGCGATGATAACGAGCCGTTTCGCGTAAGTTGATTCAATTACGGGGCTTATCGTCGTCCCTCAGACGGGAGGATGCGAGGGCGCGATAAGGCCAAGTCGTATTGATTTGCTCGCGCAGCGATCAGGCGCGAAAGCGATATCTCGGGGATTCAGAGTGACCGTGTCTTTATTACCGAGAGGTTTACATAACAATGTCGAGGTTTCTCCTTTTCGCGACGTTCCCTCGCGACGCCTCGAGAGAATCTATTTACAAGCCGATGCCAGATCGCGACGCGCGAATCACTCCGCGGATATCGCGCGAGCGAGGCAAAATAATATCGCGCGCCGCGATTCTTTTCGACTCAGGAACTTACTTTGATTACACACGCACGGCGGAGAGACAAATGTGAAATGATCCCCAATAAAGTTCTTAAGTTGAGAATCTTATCTGAAGAAGATAAAACTCATAAATGTTTAATTGCAAAAACGCAATTTCAGCGCGCTGAAATTACACCCGGGTGAAACAATAGGAAAGCTGTCTTCTACGACTTGCGAAAGTGTCGATGCATTCCGATAAAGTGATCACAATGGCGCAACATGTTCCATAGATTCTCCTATTCTTCGAATCGATTCGTTTTCTCGAGATAAAACTGCACCGAGAGAATTTTCTCTTAAAATTTGTCCCGAAGATCATGTGATCGTGGGACAACGTGGCATTTTGAAGAACTTTTATGAGAGTTTCGTAAAATTTTACCATACATTTTACTGGTAAACTGTAAGTATAATTACTGGTAAAATGTATGGTAAAATTTCAAAAACTCCCATAAAGTTCTTCAAGATGCCACGTTGTCCATGGATTCCTGTTATTGAGACAAAAAATATTCCCGCTGCATTTATATTTTTCACAGCCTCATTTAGTATAAAACTAAGACAACAGCAAAGTAAAATCAATAATTCTTATTCTCCTCTATCGAGTTAAAAAAGATTGATTTACTACATTGAGACAAGAGTAGCTTTATATATTCTTGCGTTTAGAATAAATTTTCCCTCCACCTTACAACACACGAAGCTGCCACCGCGATATTCGGCAAAAGACGATACGTACTATCATTTTATTCTAGATTTTAGATAAAATATTCCTTTCTCTATAATAAACACGATTGACGCTATATCGATCCTATTTTATGATACATTCAAATGTAATAGCATTGGATCCGGAAATTTGTGTTGTGGGTGCGTGATTTGCCCATGATCACATGATTTTTCAGGTAAATTTTAAAAGAAAGTTCTCTTTCTCTCTCCGTGCATAAGCCCCGACCCGATTCTGTGACTGTACTTGATTCACTAAATTATCAGCGATCCCTACGGTCGCGGCCGACGTCGGTCGGACCGCAGGACGAATTAAACGGATCGTGATGGCTACGAGAAAGGGTCGGACGAGGCGGAAGTTCGGCACACTTACCAACACTCGTGCCGCGGACATCGTCGATGTGACACGACCTGTTCGCTCGGCACAAGTGCGAGTGGGCGTGCCGATTTCCTCCGAGCACAAGGTTCGCGTCGCCTCGCATCGCTAAGGTAACGCGAAAGCGTGCGTGACGCGCCGCGTGCACGCACCATCGAGCGTGGAACGGCGCGGCGACGCGAGTCACGCCGCGCCGGGTTTCACAATTCGCATGGGCTCGCATTAGTTTGCTGGCGGAAGTTCGAGCGACAGCGAGCGAGACGCCTCGCGCCGAATTTCTGGTACAAGTGCAAATGTTTCGTTAAGCCCGTATCAGACTACGGATTGGGATTGGGATTAGATTGAAATTTAACCAATCACAGTAAAGTTCACTAATCTCAAGTTCAGTAACTTTTACTCCGATTGGTCAAATTTCAATCTAATCCCAATCCCAATCCGTAGTCTGATACGGGCTTTACAGGCAGGCGCGAAGCGCGCTGCGCGATCTCCGCGATTATTCCGAAATATCAAGCACTTTCGTAAATAAGAAAAGAAAAATTTTTTCCATATTGCCCATCTATTTGGAATTCATTTTGTAACCGCGCGCATTGTTTTTCCACTCATCGGCTACCATATTCTGTCGCGAGGGAATAAATATTGTGACAAAATCCAGACACCCTCGTCCGTTATTTTAACAGTCATCAGAAAAATTACTACGATAGTCGGCGATATTAGCGATGTGGTAGCGCGGCTTGCGCTACCATGATTACGCTTAAGTGATTATGCAATCGTCGCTACCAGTCCGCTGACATCACCCCTCTCTTCCCCCCCCCCCTCCCCACCCGCCCCGTAAAACCGATGTAGGTGCGTCGAAATCCATGAATACCAAGTTCACGCACCGCTAATAAAGTAACGTTGTAAAAGACACGTTTCCTGCGTGCGGGATGAGTTAGGGCCATTTACTAGATACGCACAATCGTAGGCAGGTGCAGCTGTAACGAGGACGAGGGCCTGAAATTGTGTACGCGGATACACGTGTGTAATCGACCGTTAAGTAATTTACATCCGCGAAAACCGCACGCTTCGTTTAGCCCCTAACAATTCCGTCGGCAGAGTTACGAATTATTATTTTCGAAAGCAATTGCGACCGCGATTAGTCCGTCGATCTAAAATTGACGAGAAAAAAAAGTTTGTCACCTTAGCCACTCGGGGATAATATTGAACCCGACGCAATGTCAGCCTTTATATTCGTATTATTTTACGGTTTTTGAATACGTAAATTTTCTATACGACACGCTACCATGCGACCTATATGTAAGTTTTGCATGCCGAAGAAGGCACAGTATAGTGTTGGAACGCGTACAATTGCAATTCTAATCGCAGTGTTGTGCATAGATGATTTTAAAATTAGCTAGATAAAGATAAGATAAAAATATATAAATTTATCTTAGATAAGATAAAGATGATTTCGTTTTGAATATATCTAGATAAAAGATAAAATTATATGATGATTCATCTAGATAATTTTCAGATAATATCTTTAAGACTTCATGTAAACGCAGTAGAAAAAGTTATACAAAAATTATAAAAAAATATAAATTTTATTTAGATAACAGCAAACACTGTCTAATCGTAATCGAGATTGTCACGTCGAATAAACTGTTGTTAATCCTGTAACATTTTTACATCTTATTCTTGCTCGTATAATACATTGGCTTTGAAGTTTTTGTTATCGCTAAAACACGAGCGTGACTATTTCTCTTAAAATTAATAACTTGTATTAATTTCTTAATAGAGGCTTGAGTGATTGAAGAGACATCATTTCACTGATAACAGGTGCAATTGTTTTTCTCTTTATAAAGATAGTGCAATGGCTATCCATTTGCATGTAACTGCCTTGTGTGCGAGGATAAAATTTAATCGGTTCTCGCCAATCACGTTTCAGGAGTGAACATTCTGTGAGAAATCCGTAACCGATTCATTTGTCGGAAATATTTCCACATTGCCTAACGTTATCGATTACATCGAAAACCAATCTATGCTCATATCGCTAATCTGAAATTTAGATGCGTCCGTCGTGGACGATAACAGGTCTGTCCTTCGCTGAGCGATGAAGCGTGTATTTACGTGTCAAAAGTTTGGTCGAAATTGATGCCGGTATAATCCGTTCGGTCGAACCTCCGATGCAACATGCGAGACCGCCTCGGGATCATTGGTATGCACGCAGAGATCTTTACGGTATTCAACCGGAGCGCTTTGTTGCGACAAGCTCCGATCACGCTCGGCACGTTACGGCATTAGATTCAGATTCGTTCCTAATGCAGCATCGACATGCGCCCGATGACAGCGTCGTGCCGGTAGGCACTCATTGTCAAACAATAACGGCGGATCAGCCATTCGATCTCACGTTATTTTCTTTGAACCACCGCGGTTTCAAACTTGGCAGGCTACTGTTCCTTCACACGTGCGATAAAAACTTGTGCTCTTTAGCCAATAATTCAGATGCAATTAAATTATACAAGTTGTATAAACAATCAGTAATTCAACGATGACAACTGAACGTTGTTATTTACGTTATTTATATGATAGATGTAGATTTGCAATGCGTATCTTGCGTAGTGCCTCGTTGTCCTACGTTATTCGTTGTCCGTTTTACTAAGAGCATATAAAATTAAGAATTGTAGATTTTTACTTTATATTTTATACTGAATGGGACTCTTTCTCGTGTGTTACAGGCTGAGTCCGAGGTCGCCGCCTTGAATCGCCGTATTCAACTGCTGGAGGAGGACCTCGAGAGATCCGAGGAGCGTCTTGCCACTGCCACTGCCAAATTGGCGGAGGCATCGCAAGCTGCCGATGAGAGCGAACGGTAAGTTTCCGTCTTTTTACATCCGCAATCGGAATTGCGAATTCTTTTATTCGTGCCGGTGATCCGCCTACATATTATCTGCAACGAGCAGTTACCAAAATTAAGATAAAGCACAAGAGATACAAATATATTTCCAATTTAATTGGCACAATTTTATAGTAATGAAAATGCATGAGCGTTTCAGGTTAATGAAAAACAGCTGCTCATTGTTACGTAGTTTCTTTTTTATCTTTTCGAGAATGATCAAGAGTAACAGATATTATTCGATTAAATATTAAACATTAATACTTTCTAGTGCGCTTGTTGTCAAGTCGCCAGCAAGGATCGATGTTATTTAATAGATAATGTTAATTATTGTTAACTATGTTCATGAAGAAGCGAGATTTACAAGATTTTACTCCCGATCATTCTTATTACATGCGAATAATTCTAAATTATCGGGGGATTAATTATAAGTCGAGGGGGAAACCGCTGACCAAAATCTTGTACACCAATGCCCACTAATGCCCGGTGGGCATTACTTTATCTTATTATTTTATATTATTTATCTTGTTTTATTTTATTTCATCTTATTTTACCGTATTTTATATTTATAATGCCCCAAAAATGCCTAGTAATGCCCGGTAATGCCGCAAATCTGTACACCACAATGCCCTCAGCGGTTTCCCCCTCGTTATAAGTGAAATGCAAAAGTGGTATAATCGATATTTTCGTTGTATCAATTTTATCTCGTTATTTTATAGCATTAAAATTGCAATCTTTCTCCTTGTTACATGCTTTTCTGTTATGTCTTATTATAAAATGTAAAAAATTTTACAATTAATTAGAAAATAAAACTTTTTCATTGGCAGATCACTTTTCGAGATTGAAAATATTAAAAATAATTAAAAAGCCTGAATGTATAAAAGACATTTAAGAAATTATTTCGAATAACTTCTCTTTCTCTTATGCCACGTTTGCTATGAATCCATTATGTGTATCTGCACATATGCAGTATAATATAGTATATAATATTAATAGAGTTATATATGGCACACAATTATGAGTGACAGTTTTGATATTTTTTGTGTTTTAAAAGAAATCATTTCTCTCCGTGATTTCGCACTCGTCTTACATTGAAAGAATCGATCTGAGAAAAAGACTGAGTATCTCTTGGAGATCCTTTTTCCGGAATTTAATTATAGAACGCGACGCGATTCACTGCAATTTTGTATGACTAGTATCGCACCAAATATAGACCCGAACGCAACAGCTCTTTAGTATTTCAGTTACAGTTATGTAATTATGATACGTGCAGAAATTCGCGTAGCTATTATACCAAATTCGTTGTCTATTATAGATATACATGCACAAGTAGGTGCTTAATCATTGCGAAAAATAACGATATCGCGAACAATTCTCTAGTCAATTGCTACGTAATTTAAAAACTGGCTCGCGATATATAATGTCTTTTCCTCTCGTTTGTGCTCGGAGATGTCTTTCAAGTAGAAACGAAGTGAGATGTGGATTTTGAACACCACATCCTGACCTACTTCTTGTGGTTACATATCGCATCCGCCGCGACGGCGATTTACTTTTTAGTACGCGAACGGATTTACTTTTTAGCACGCTCTCGGATTCTTTAGAATTAAAAATTTCTGGATACTCGTTTTCTTATATTGATTATTTATTTATTTATTTGGGAGATAAACTCATGTCGAAAGGATCCCGAAGCTCTCTTGATTTGATCTACCTATTTTTGCATTGCATATGACAGTAAAGTGTTGAATGTAAAAGTCATTAAGTGCAATCGTAATTTTCAAAATGTCTAATTGCCGATTATGACCTCTTTACGGTGGTACGTAAATGCTTAAAATAACACTAGGTTTTCTTATCGTCGTTGATAACGAATGACGTGTACGAGCTTCGCACGTCTTGCACGATTCTTTCTCACGTACGAGAGGAACTTCAAATACGCACATCTCCGGTTTCTTGACTTACGCGGCTAATTTTTAAAAAATTGAAAGACGTTATCTGTACGTAAACCGAAAGAGCCAATCGGTGTACAAAATAAATTCGCATTGTAAAAAAATAGGATTTTATCCTCTTTATGTATCTAAATTATTATTTATATCGCGCTTATGAGAAAAATTCGTAAATCGACGGTCGCGGAAATAGTCACTTCGTGCGCAGCGATGATCATTCTTTCAACGACGATTAACTCGTTTCTAAAAATCGACGAACGATCGATCGTTAGGATACGCAAGGCCCTCGAAAACCGCACTAACATGGAGGACGACCGAGTATCCTTGTTGGAGCAGCAGCTAGCGCAGGCTAAACTGATCGCAGAAGAGGCGGATAAAAAATACGAGGAGGTGGGTCACCAGCGAACAAAGAGCGAAAAAAATAAGGGCCGCGCGACCCTTCTCTCGATTGGAGACCAACTACCAACCGCTTGGGACGTTCACGGCACTGACATTTGTATTCATAAATACCAAAATATCTGTCACTTATCTGTTATTCGTTGATGCATTTTCACGGTACAGTAAATGAGCTTGAAGAAAACAGGATTCCACTCTCGGGGCATGAATAATCCAACACAAACAGAAAGGGTGTAAGGGTGTAGAATCGTCCAGGTCGGTCGGTAGTTTTTCTCCGGGATTATCTTCCAGGTGAACTTTACAGGCGGACATCATCGGTTGTGAGCTGAGCTGAGCGGAGACGTCCTTCGACGGTCGTCCGAAACCTATCTTTTAACTTGATCCGTTTGTCTAGTCCACTTTTTTAACCGTAAATTCTTTCGTTCGACATGTGTCCACCTTAAAGCGCCCGCAAGATTCTCGAGAACCGCAGCTTGGCGGACGAAGAGCGCATGGACGCCCTCGAGAATCAGCTGAAGGAGGCCAGGTTCCTCGCCGAAGAAGCCGACAAGAAATACGATGAGGTTCGCGCGCCCGCGGCTACCACTGTCAAGCGTGTTGGATGCAGTGACGATGATAATCATGACGATGACGGTTCCTAGTCGATAGTCAAAATAGTGCCTAACCCCGTAACTCTCTGTCTTCTCTTTGTGTGCTCGAAAAACACCGTGGTTCGATACGCGTCTCCGTTGCGAGTAAAGATACGTGTCTCGCACGGGGCACATCCCATTCGTTCAAATCGTGTTGGTTGGTTCGCCGAGGCTTCGACCGTCTTTTAGGGGGGAAAAAAAATAACGAGGCGATCTTCCCGCGTTGCCCGCGTCGCGAAGCGAATGTTCCCGTCGATCGTACGAAAGTTGGGAAGGTGAGGAGGCGCAGTGAAATCTTGGCAGGGGTAAATGTCGTGACACGTCGATCTGTGATCGCGATCTGGGCTGCGAATAAGAGTGAAAAAAGTTTCCTTCCGTTTAGAAAAGTTTGTTCGCGACAAGTGCAGTGTTCCAAAGATCGTTTTCATCTTGTTAGACTAAAATTTTAAAGATCAAATAGGAGTCACGCGGGAAGAAACGAAGGAAGAAAGAGAGAAAGAGAGAGAGTGGTGATATACATACGTACGAGAGTGTTAACGTGTTTCACGAGCGCGACTCGCGTAAAAAAATCGGGTATCTGTGATTTCTCCAAGTGTTTTCATTTCGGTTACGACAAAAGCTACAACAAAATGTCTCTCAAGTGCCAGTTTCGTAACTAGAGTCTAATCTTGTTATTGCTACATATATATTCCTGTTATTAGATACTTGTAGTTTAGAGATGACCGCGCGACCAAGTTCGTACGCGCGCGTTTATGATAAATACGGTCTCTTCGGGGTATCGTGGAGGTTTGGACCGCGTGCTCAGTCTGTCGTCTCGTTACTCCCGAGTCCGGTCTCGTAATTAAATTTAACAACAGTCCTCAATTGTGTTGTGATAACGACACGCGCGTGGCCGCGCGACTTTATCGCGCGGCTCGCCGCGCGTCAAACGACATGGTGCTGCTTTTGTCAAGCTTGTCGAGCTGAGACGAGCGCGTTTCGCTTTGCTGGATTTCGGAATGTGACGCGCCAGAATGACGAGAGTTGTCATGGTAGGTGTTGGCCGCGATAACGTTGAAATTACGGTGATGCACACTTTGCTGTTTGTCCACTCGGAGATTACCGGTATCGCTTCGCCGGGATAAGATATCGTTCGAAATCTTTTTTTCAGTCATCTGCATGATATTAGAGATCGCTATTTACGACTGCGACCCATCAATATATAATTTCACATTACCTAAATACCTAATCTGTCCGCGACAGAATGCGTCACGCGTATCTATCTATACATTTTTGCAATATTATTTTTTATTATTTTGAATCACTATTTCATTTATTTTTCATTTTTCGGAGACGCGAGTTTCGTTTGCCTTCAACAATACAGTATCTTTTTAATAAATATGAACAAGGCTCCAATAAAACAATATTAAAATGAAAATTGATATTAATAGTTAAAATAGTAAAAGATTGCCGAGTCGAAATTTTGGTCCAATGTTGAACTTTTAATTCTATTATATAGTAGGACCTGAGACAGTAAAAGAGGTCGAACTGCAGGTACAAAATTTACTCCTACTTTAAAACTGATAGTGTCGGGAATTTCTACTTTTGCCGATTTTGCATTAAAGTAGGTCCTTTTAAGTAGGAGCTAAAGTCAAATTTTAGAATTAAAGATTCAAGGGAGGAATAAAAAATATAATGTCATCAAAGTACGTTATTGCTGATCCTATATAGGTGTATAGATCAGCTGAGTAGGTGTGAATTATCCTTAGAAGTGTCAAAATAGTACCAAAATTTAGAGGCAATTAACTATTAATTTTAATTTGAATAATTTTTTTTTAACTACGAAAATTTTTTTGCAAATTGATGATTATCACCGGGGAACTCGTAACTTGCCGAGGTTTCTTTATTGAAACTTCTGAACTCACCGTAGTTTCAATCAGTTAATTTTTCCCACCCGATGACGTTACACGCGATCTGTTAAATCGCCGTTAATTAACAGACTGCGCGAAAATAGATCGCGGTGTGCGAGAGTTGATTTTATCGCAATGCTAATCGAGTCGTCCAATTTATTTCAGTAGATAGTTGCTTCCACGCAGTCGTCTGTTTTGATCTCCTAATTAACGATCTAACTATCTAACCGTTACAGAAACTTACAGGGATGACGACAAGTTCTAACAGCAACTGAGTGTGTCGATGTCTTCGTTAAACCTCATTTTTTTGCACATATATGTACAAGGCGACTTGCAATCTGTCGTTCATTCGCAAAATCATGTCGCGACTCCATCGTAAAATGGCCGGGTCGTCGCGAAACTGATGAAGTCCACCGGGACGACATAGATTGCGCGTCGTATTCTTCTTACAAATACCGCATACGATTATAAAATCAACGCGATTGTGGCAGATTTGCATTTTCTCAACGAACTGAATAAAATCTTCGCTTTTATCGCCTCGGAATCGTGGGTGTTCACAGAGTTTTCACGGGATATCGCACGAGTCGATCGCGGAATCATGTTGACTGCGCGAGGTCAAATTGATGCGAATCTCGAGCGCAGGCACGTCGAACTAAGTCTCGTACGTGGAGATCGTTCGTGCTAACCGTAACAGAAAATTTCCGAGGCGAAGATATACGAGAGCGAGGGAACGTGTGGAAACCGGTAATCCGAGTGCGCGCGAATCGCGAATCTCTCAATTAAACTCCCGCGGGGAAGCCATTTTACGATCGATCGCGGCCACGATTGTGCGTAAGCTGTGCCGCACGAGTGAAAGATCGTCGTAGGGCACGATTACAGACACGTCCAGAGCCACGGCGATTTAAAAAGAAAAAGAGTTCGGCTAAGAGTTTCGCTCTACGACGATCTTTTTCCCTAGCGTGACCATACATTGCCGTACTTACATGCGCTTGCGAGTCCATCGGGACTCGTCCGTCAGGACCGAGGTGCAATTTGCGTGACGCGACTTGCGTGCTGTATCTCCGGTCGTTTGTTTTCTCGACGGCGTGGCCGTCGATTGGAAGAGGCCGCCCATTTGCGAGCGTTTCGGGAAGATTGCTCGAAAAAAGAGAAAGAAACGGACGTTAATGCAGCAGCTCAGCCCGTCGTTAAAACGTCAAATTAAAACGACGAGGATGTTTTAATTTGAACGCGAATGCCATTAGACATGCAAATTGGGCGCGCGTGAAGTCCGCGAGTGGCAGCGTTTTACAATGTATTTTCTCGATCCACGCTCTTAAGCTCGTACCGCGTAGCACCGCCAAATTCGAGGCACACGTTTCTAAATAGGACTCTGGTTAACAGTTAACCGACGTTCGTGAAACTAGCCGTAAATGTCTGTTTCTACGCCAGACACACTGACAGAAAAAAAAATGGTTGCAGTTAGCACAATCTCGCTATAATTTCTTAGTCGTCTTAGGAGCCAACCACATTCTTATAATTCTTCCAACTACGTAAGTTGTGGCTGACCTAACAATGTATTATAGTCCATTTCCATCCTCTTCTTTTGATCGCACTTACTATATAAAAATAATTAACTAATTTACCATTCATTACCTGGACATTTTAACAGGACAACAGTTAAAAGCTTATATTTTATAGTAAATTTTTTAAATCGTTGGCATCACTGTGTGTCTACATGGTTGCTAATATTGTAGTAATAATTGCTATAAAAATGATATTCCTGACTGTAATTATTTTACTATGCAATTACAGTTTTCAATACTACACATTTTTCTATCAGCGTAGGCATTCGTTATACTCTTCCTGTGTCGCATGAGCCACACTCGTGATCGCGTAGATAATGTACCTCCTGACAATAAAACTCCTAATTTCGAGGAACTATCTATTTGGTGGATTTTTATGTCTCTCGTAATTACGTACGGTTTTTATTTCATTTAACGGGCACCTCCAATTTTTGGCGATACACGCTTAAGAGTGTATTGAGGATCACGTACGCGGCTCGCTCTTTTTCCTCGCGAAACGGTAGCTTTGGATACGCGCGGATTAGACGCCAAGGCCCGCCGCACAAGCTCGTCAACGGACTTTGAGCACGAGGGGGAGAATCTCACCGCGAGGACCGTAACTCTTCCAATCACGACCGCGACGGCGATGACGACGGCGACGAGACGCCGGTGTCTCGCCAGCCCGCCGCCTCCGAAGTCTTCAGAGGCGGCGAGGTCGCCGAAGATAAGGAGGAGGATGAGGAGGTGGTGATGGAAGGCAAACACATGTAGAAACCGTATGTGTGTGTCGTTTATACAGGTCGCCCGTAAATTGGCCATGGTTGAGGCCGATCTAGAACGCGCCGAGGAGCGTGCCGAGGCCGGAGAGTCGTAAGCATCATCATTTTTATTAGGCATCTCCCGTCCGGCACCTTTTGCCCGAAGTGCGAACGTTCCCGCGGCATTCTCTCCTCTCATCTCACCCAGCTGCCGCCCCCTTTCTTTTCCATCATGCATCGCCGAGCGCGCTTCAGCTCGCTGCCGTAACTTTTTGACAGCACCGTTAGCTCGTAACACGTTCGTCTGCGAGGACGAAGAAGGCGATATACCCCCTTAACCACGCCTGTATTTCGTTTTGCACGATAACGATACTTTTCGTGATCGCATTCTACCAGTAAAAGTAGTTGCGAAGTGTATCAGTTGTTAAGACCTTTCCCGTCGTGGAGGGCCAGAATTGCGAAACGTTAGTCTAATCGTTAAGTAGTATTGTCTCGTAGCAGTGTAATATCTTAATAGTAATAGTGGCTTTTCCACGACACCATCTGCGTCTAAGGGAAGTAAGCAACAATTACGTTGAATCGAACTGATGATCTTATTAATTTTCCAATACACCCGCGGCGTCAATATCCGAAATTATTTGTCGCTCTCATTTAATCACCTTCAAAAGATTTGTCACCCAAAGAGCTGCCTATAGACGCAGATGCGATCCCATGTGTAATTTTAATTAACATTGTGGCACAGTGCGCTCGCACTAATCTTTTAGCAGCCGGAAGGAGCCCTGGGAGCCAGGAGACATCGGATTTTTGTGCATGTCGACACCTGACAATTTCTTTGTTCCATTTTTTTTCGTATTACTATTTCATGACCACCTCCATCACCTTTGCTTATCGCGCATGACACTGTGTGGCTGTTGATCACAGGTCGCCAGGAAACTAGTCATGATGGAGCAGGATCTCGAGCGCGCCGAGGAGAAGGCCGAGCTTTCCGAATCGTAAGTGCAGTTACACGCATGTGTTCACCGTAATATCCCTCTTCCTCCATGTGCAGCACTATGCAATTCCCTTGTCGTTCGCTCGTCATATCGTCCAGAAATATGAATCACCGACGAACGTTTCAATACACAATTCAAAAACGTCTAGACAGATCAATGTACATATATACTGTGCATTAATCAAAATGTAATATTTTTTGATACTAGAACAAAGCTTTTTTTCTCTATTAACTTGATTTCCCTCATCGGACAACTTCCAGCATTACTTAATTATATCTCTAAAAGAATGAGAAATATTGAAAACGTTTGTCTGCAGTTTTTTTTCTTCTGTATAATCCATGAACTTGAACATTAAATGGTTATTAACTTTGCAGCAAGATTGTCGAGCTTGAGGAAGAATTGCGTGTCGTCGGCAATAACTTGAAGTCCCTCGAGGTCTCCGAGGAAAAGGTAAACGATTTATTTTACGCCCCATGTAGAACACAATCAGAACGGAACATAATTCCGTGGACTATAATCGTCTCCCCAATTCTCATTTTATGTTATAATGATTTTCTTAATCATCAATTAACCCGCGTCTAAATGCCGGAAAATATTATGGATAGAAAGTACATCATGCCATTTTTACAATGCCCAATTTAATTGTAAATCATAAGTTATACCGATGAAAGTACATTCCAATAATTGGGTCGAGCATTAATTTTGAGACGAGCACCTTACCTTAAGTGTAGGGTGTTTGACAGTCGGTACACGTTCTGAAGAAAATCACCGTTAAATCGTCGTATGAGAAATAATATTTACGTAATTGTACGTAGGCCAACCAGCGCGAGGAGGAATACAAGAACCAAATTAAGACCCTTACTACTCGTCTAAAGGAGGTACACATCCTTTGGGAGTGTCTTGCTTTGCATTTCCTAACGTGTGATCCATCCTCGCGTCGTAGGTCTTGCCACTAAAATATTAACTCGCGTGCCCCCATCGTTTTGCATCTGACCCCATTTTTATTTTTCTTTAAGAAAGTAACTAAACAAGTGTTTCCTGCGTTGCGGTGAACTAACGAAAGCTCGTTTTGTCTTTTTGTTGTGCTTGATTAAAAACAGGCGACGCAACGAGAGGAGACGTTCGAGGGCCAGGTGAAGATTCTCGATAGTCAATTGAAAGAGGTAAGTGAGAGCCGAGGATTAAAATAATTATCGCGGATCGAGGCACCTCGAAATATCGGTGTATCGGGGAATTTTCATTTTAATTTCGATCGCATCTATTGTTCAAATGTAGAGAAACATAAAATTGATGATCGGAAATGGAACAATACTTGAATATGATAAACAACCACGGAAGGAAATAACGAAATTTTTCTACTTTTGTACGCGAAATATTAAACTACTTACGAAAAGAATACGCGAAACTTTCAAAGCCCGTACAAACACCGAGAAATCTAAAGATTCATAGATCGCCTCACGAGGACAAATGCAAACGTTTCAATAGTATCGTAAGTTTTTCTTCCTTGAGTGAGCGTATTGCCCGAAAAAGAGAGAGAGTGAAGCATTGTTCTCGATAATAGCATATTAATCGTGCAATACAGTGTCGTAACCTTTCAAGGCCTAGATTCAGGCCCATAGCGTAGCTGCAGTCATGTGTGACGTGAAATTTGCTTTACTCGCATGGCGTGAAGCATTGATATACCGATTATTAATTGTCTCGACGATTTCAAAGAAAAGGAAAGCAGAACGGCCATAAATCTTGATGAATGACTAATGCCTCTGTTTTATACGATTATTCAAACGGACGGCTTACTTTCTCTGTCTTTCTGCTTTTTGAAATCGATAGACGAGTTTATTTTAAGCGTCATTTTCTGACTGACAAATTATTGCGTTTGCGTAGGCTGAAGCACGCGCCGAGTTCGCGGAGAGATCCGTGCAGAAACTCCAGAAGGAAGTTGACAGGCTCGAAGGTGCGTATACGGCAAGAATAGAATACGTACACATTGATATATTACTTCCGTTCTTTTCGCTCTTTCCACGATTTAATCTACATTTTTTTAAATATGTAAATACGTGTGCTACGATACTTTTTATATCGGTTACACAATTGTTGCAACGTGAATTGAATTTCTTGTTAAACGGAAAGAGAGAAAGAATTCAGGGAAAGGTTTTTAGAAGAGAAAGTTTTCAGAATGATTAGAAATTGCCACTTTTACCCAAGCGGCTAGATTCCTAGAGAATGGGTGCCGCGCACACGTGAAAAGGTTTAAACTGACACCGGATATAAACGGAACAATACCGAAGGAACTGAATATTACGAATCACTGCTTTTAAATTTAGTCTCTCTTTTTCTACATAGAGTCTAGAGAAATTACGAGCTATGTTTCTATACCCAGAGAGTTCAAGTCGAAGCGGTTCAATCAAAATTTATCCTAATCAGTTTGCCTAATTGTAATATATAGGAACGTAGTGATTCGACAATCGTAAAGCAAACCCCGTTTTTTTCTTTCCGCCCCGTGTGTATATGTGTGCGTGCGTGTGTGCGCTGTATTTTATTTGCGCGTTTACCCAACTTAACCGCCGAAACGCAGTGTGTTACGCTCGCGTGTGGCTTGCCGTGTGTTACTTCCCTTTAACCAGTGATCTTTGCAGACGACCTCACGGCCGAGAGAGAGAAAAACAAATTGCTACAGGAGGAGATGGAGGCCACCCTGCATGACATCCAGAACATGTAGATCGTATTTTTCGCGATGGACGGAAACGCATAGACGCGAAAACGTTTTGTAGGGAGCGAGAGAACATCCGAGAGAAAGAGAGAGATATATAAGGGGGGGGAGGGGGGGGAAGAACGATGCAAGTAAATAGCAGAACGGCGGCAACGAGAAGTGAATGAGAAACAAATACGCCGTTACGGCGCGAGCGTTTCGTATGTGGTGCACACCTTAACATTAACGGATAAAAATGCAGTCTTTAGACTAGCCTTATACCCTCCATTACGTCCATCCGCAGTGCGTGTACGTATTATGCGTGCTTGTATGTGCCCGAGCGTGTGTGTATACGTGTCGTGTGCGTGTCGCGTGTCTATTTGTATGCACGTGATGCAAGACAGACTGATGTAGGATGAGAGGAAGTGTAGAAAATGTGTGTGTGCATGCGAGGAAGAGTAAGGAAGTTACAGAACGAAAGGATCGGCATGGTAGAGAGAGAGATAGAGGGGGGGAAGGATGGAAGATAGAGGAAGAATAAGCAATACGCGACAAGGACAGACGGCAGGATAGTTCCATACATACGAAGTTACTTGTAATCTGAGTTTTTTAGCTTTAGATTTTAGCTTAGTCTGCCTTTGAATTTTTGAATTCGAGAAAAATTGAGGCATGGCTGCGATTTGAGTCCTCGATGCGCTTTCGATTCGTTAAGAAAACGATTACTGGCCGTGGGAGGATACGTGAGTAGGGATTCGGAGAGGCAGAAAATGGAAGAAACGCGGGGACGAGATGGACCGAATTGCTTTGTACCGAGAGAAGAAGTTCTATAAGACGTCTGGAAATCGATTTTCTCGAGCGTATCAATTTTATGCGCCAAAGACGATGTTCAAATATGATCTATTATATAATTATATAATATTGTACTTAATATATAATTATATAGTAAACTACGCTCGACTCGTCTGAGACCTGAAGTCAGGTCTCCTCCTCTCCATTGAAGATAAACGATCATTGAGTGATCTTTTAGAAGTGACTTAGGAAAAGTTTTTTTTATTCTTAATTTCACCCGGTCGGGCATTTCATCAGAATTTGCTTCTGTCGGTACAAAAATACGCGTAATAGGATTGTATATAATGGAGGGAAGCAGACCGAGTGTTCACATTCACTTTTTCGCGTCATTTTACATTCCGCATTCTCCACGCGGCTCAGCTCGCGCGAGAAGAGATTCGTCAGTTCCTTTTTCGTCTGCCAGCGAAGTTATCGTCGCGTTATCTTCTCATTGCCGCCGATGAAAGCAAAGACGACGATGATGCAATAATCGTGCATTTAAGAGGATTCCACTGCCACAAGCCCTCAGCAATTTTTCTAAAAGTATATTTTCGTAGTACGCCTTTGTCTTCGTTGTGCAATATCCAATCAAACGATTACAACCGTATTACCAACGTAGTATTGCTATGATTCAAATCCGTTGTTTTGTTTCCGCGTAGTACGAAATAATCGAGAATTGTCCGGCCTATGCAGACATATGCGTGTATCACGTGTGCAGAGCGGTTTAACTTCGGGCCTACGAAAAATTTATCATAATACTTAAGATACAAACAGGGAAGCAACTGGCTATTTTGTCACGCCGCAACGCAGCTTCCCGTGCTAGCTGAGTCATTCCGATATTTTTTACCGATCGTGCCTGTATATATTTACGATATATTAATACTAACCACGGCCAACGTCAAACCTCGATGCAGGGAACGTGCTTCGTTTCGAATATAACAGCGAACGAAAGATCCGGAAGTAATGATAGACCGTCGAGATAACGCATATCCGATTATTCCACTTCGAGGCGAACCGCGTTTTCGCCTCGAATTATTATTATTACTATTACTATTAATTGATACAGCTGTCGTTAATGTTACTTCACGCTCGCCATCGAGCATCGCTAATTCCGCGAAGACATTTTCTCTTCCAATTCTTTTCCTTTCTACCGAAAAGCGTAATTTATGTCGCGCGTCCTACCCGATCTCGATGTCGTAATCCGTCATCGTTATTCTTGTAGCACTTTTCCTGCAACATATTCTTGGATGGCCTTTTGATGTAAGAATGTGCGCTTCGTTCTTTTCCCGTTCCGATATATAAATGCATGTATATCGCACAATCATTGAGCAATCATGAAGCTACCTAGACTCGATCGAACATATATTTCAGGATTGACTCTTGATGACGAAAAAATATAAATATTTCGTCTTTCACATGAAAGACGCATAAATTTTAACAACTAGCTTTTTATAATTTGCCAACGTCGCGTTGGTTTTGTATTATACAAATCGATATTTCGCTGATACACAGTTGTAGTGTCAACACAGTAAGCGTATTTAATCATTACGTGACTTAAATATGATCGCGCATGACGTCACGTTTTTGATCGAACAATGTGCCGTTCAGAAATTCGAGCTACTTCGAATTATATGTCTCTATTTATGCATGCGAATGAACCGACTCAAAATACAGTAGCACATGCGCTATCGAAAGGCCACCCGGAGATATCGCGACCGTTTGTTCTGCAAGTTAACGCCGCCACGAGCAAGCGTTGTTCAAAAACCAGGAAAGTAATCGCGAAAAGCACAACAACCACGAGACCTACGTGTCCTATCGTTGATTTTTGTTAGCCACAAATTCTTTTCTTTCTGAAGTAATACTAAAAATTACGGAAAACGCAGATACTTGAGTTTAAGAGAGAACTTTAGTTTATTAATTTACTTAATATTAATAAAGTGAATGGAATGATAATAACACTAATATCATTGTAATAATAATTAATTATTATATATTGCTATTATTATAAAACTGTTTATAATATATATTTTAATTTTGAAAAAGAGTGTGTCGTTTGTTTTCGTTGTGTCGTTATTTTATTTTATTTTTTACCTGCGCTAACATTAATCCTCCACCGTTAACATAACGACGTGTAACTGCTGTCCAACGCGATAACACTGTGATCGCCTTGTTGTTAAGACAGTCTCCTAACAAACTGCATGATGAAGAAAGAGTGGTACGTATGTCTTAATTACGGTGAGTAAATCTGCTTAATCCGATTTTGCTATTTAATGCATGACAAATCTCCCTATTTACAATATCGAAACTTCACGATTGTCTCTTATCATGAAATTTATCACGATTATTTTGTAGATATAAATATTCCTTTCTTTTTCTGCGTGATCTACTGATCATTCTTCCGATACCGGTAATAAAACTGATTATGTTAATAATATTATATTCCATCATCAAAAAACATTCATGAATAACGAATCTAATTATCGAAGCACATTTAAAATATGTAAAAATTAGCGTAGAGCTAAGAGCAGGTATGAATTGAGGTACAAATTATATCTAACAGAAGAAATTTAACGAATATCACGACGATAGAAGAGAAATAATCGGGGAATCATTTTCAGCCGCGCGTTAAAATTTATATGACCTACCTAAACGTGTTGAGTTATTTGATTTTAATTCAATTATCTTCACCGCTATCCCGCTTGGCCGATCCACAGTGCCTGCTTAGCGCAGTTAACAATATTAATCCTTTCATCACCGAGCGATTTTTAATTATTTTTTTAATGGGACATCAGCATCCCACAGAATCCTAGAGAGACAAGGAATGGGGACTTATATGCGGTCATGAAAGGGTTAAAAATTTATTAAAAAATTAATTAAAAAGGACGAAACACTTTCGTCTCTTCGGCACTTCTTTTTTTCGATCACTTCACACGCCACGCAGTAGACAAAGTCTCATCAACTGACTAGCGGCTTTCTATATCGTTGCGAATGCTTGCAGATGAGATGGTGACTGAGAAGGAGAAATTCAAGGAGGTCGGGGACGGCCTGGACAACGCGTTCTTCGAGCTCTATGGCGTGTAACGCCGCTACTAACCCTCCTAACGCTTCGACAAAAAAAAAAGATACCGAAAGCCTTTCTTACAAATCTAGCTTGCGCTTAACACACCTTCCGTAAGTTACCTGCTTACGCTTTTTTAACCCGCTCGTTGCTAAAACCGCAGCTTCCCGACCGAGCGCCTTCTAACAGAACATACATCCTTCTTTTCACATCGCTTAAAACATTTCATGCACGCGATAATTATAACGTAGGGTCAAAGATTCGTTGTATCTTCCAGTTTTATCTCAAAGTGAACTTTGCGTGAACGCAAATTATCAATGCACCTAATTCATACCGAACGTATCGATGTACAACTGGCTGGAGATGGCAAAGTAGCAGAGTTGCGTTCTAACAGCGCTACGTTTTCTTACAGACGAGCTCGTCCACGAGAAGGAGAAGTACAAATACATCTGCGACGACCTGGACCTCACCTTCACCGAATTGGTTGGTTAAATCGGCTGTCGAATTATCCGCGTCCGCACCGTCGAATTATTTGGCCGTTAATCGAATTATCGGCATCGTGCAATTCGATCGCGGTCGAGTCACGGCCACCCGGAGCGTGTGCTTTCTCGTCATCGTAACTAAAATCAATGTGCTACTATAAATACGTTCCGCGTTCAATATACTCTTCTCTTCTTTTTTTTATTTATCAACGACTCCGCCACCGGCTCTCGTGCGCAGAGCAGCCGCTGAGCCGTGATTATTTATTTAATTATTTACTTCGGAAACGCTGCCCGGATCAAAATTACGATTTAAAAGAATACAATTTCCAACACAGTTTTAATTGCACTACGCTGCTTTGGTAATTGAGCGTGCGGTAAGTAGAGCAAAAAGAAAAGTACAGTACACCGACCCGAAGTGTACGTATCGCTAATAAAATGTTATTGAATTTCTGAAAGTATACCTCGACGTGACCTTTCCGTCGTCAGTGGCTCGCGATTTCAGATTGTCGAAAAACTGTACGGGACACCACACTTTTGTTTCCAATACATCAGAGAATAGGATAAATAAAATATATAGAATCCGATGTGCCGTTTTGTTTTCTTTCACACCCGAAACACCCTGTCCCTTAAAGAGCTAAGATGGACCGCGAGACGTTCATTTCTGAAAATACATTTCCAAGTACGTATGTGTGTCAGCAAATGACTGACAATGATCAGGCTGCTAATCGACCATGACTGGCGATGTGTTTTTAACAGACAATTTAACGTAGACAACAACTGTACTGTTATTGCGACAAATATTATCATATGCCTCGGTGGTCGAATTGGTGAGACGCCCGTCTAGAGTGTAGAGAGGTCCAGTTTCAAACTCTGGCCGAGGTAATACTTTTCGCAATAAATTTTCTGTGTTAAAAACACATCGCCAGTCGACTAGAAGCTTGATCATTGTTACGTATGTATGTGTGTGTGTGTACATATTGGCGTTTAATCTTACATTTTATTCCCCGAACTGAACAGCCAATGTCATTTCTCAGGTTTCAGGTAACAGGACCAATTCAGCATAATTTTCCCTTCTCCTGCTCTCTCTCTGAGCCGCTTTACGGACGTAATGATCTAGTCTAATCCCGAAGCGTCAACCACGAGGATTGCGTGCTCGTGGCGATATCTCTCTCTTTCTCTTTCCAATTAAAAAAAAAATATTAAAATGTAACACCCGATTAACCATCGTACCGTCCACTAATACCACGTTCCCTCCCTTCTCGTTGCAGACGTGCTGGTAAACGAGCGCTGTAAATACAAAGCGATCGCCGACGAGATGGATCAGACGTTCGCCGACCTCGCCGGATATTAGCAGGCAGGCTAAAATGCGTATGACCGGGGGTGTGTTGCGGGGAAGAGAAAAAAAAAGCGAGAGAGAGATAGAGAAAAGAAAGAAACGGTTCGTTCACGCTACGACAAAACGACACTGCCAGCACGCGGACCCTTCGCCACACGTCGTCTCGTTCGATTACATTAGCATTCTACACGTACTCGCTGGAGGAAAGTCGAGGACGAGGAGGATGAGATTGCTGACATTTAGCGTTAGCCGCGCGTGGCTTAACCGTTAAGCCGCGTTTTTCGCTGAAGGCACCGTCATGCGTTCTACATTCCTTCGACTCGAATCGAAATCTACGTTTGAGCAGGCCACATCCGGCTCGTCTTTTGTAAGGGTTTACATTGAAATTGCCTCGGGAACGAGATCTTTCCGAACGGCGGTAAGAAATCTTGTGTGTCCGACGGTACTGGTCGGAAACAAAGATAACGTACTCTTCCAATACCTGGCACGGAATTCCCACTCAATGACGGCGATGATTTACTGCAGTATCGGTTCTGTTACCTGCGCCCGTATCCCCGGCACAGCAAGGTGTCTTATTTTATCACATCCCTCACGTCCAAATAAATTGCATTACTTCCGTCGAGATCTGTCCGCGCAAATTTGCATTGGCCCCCCCCTAAATTCGCGTAGCTTCTTATATCTGTAACGGTATTAGTTGTTAAGGAACTTTTTGCATAATACATTACTTTCATCCTGCTCAACCGCACAATTTACGCTGGATATTACGTCGCGCTGTTTCATCAACCAAGGTACGGGCCAAGAAACGACGTTTGCTCGAAATCAAGTCCACACGGCCTTAAATATTTAACATCCCAGCTCATTGCGACGAATGTGTTCAAGGCACATCCGCGTAAGCAGGAAATTAAAATAAACCGTACAAATCTCTTTCGTAATTACATCGGTTTGTATCGTACAAAACACGAGTCTAAAAGGACAGCTAATAAATAACGTCGATTAACATCCAATACGAATAAACGACAAATGTTTCCTGCTTATGGCATTTTTATCTTATTCAAGAAGCAGCGCTAACATTCATCGTTAACCATGTATCTTTTTTATATTTGCACATTCCACCGTACGATTAGACAGTGCGGTCTAATTAGTCAGGCTAACGCTTAAGTTTCTTTCCATTATATATTAAGGAATACCATGTATCATTCATATTTTCAAGCCACGCTTCTATGTTGTATCGTGCAGTATATTGTGTCAAGATATTGATGAATTGACTTGCTGAAATATCTCACTTTAACGGAATGAGGTATAGTGTTCATTATAGCATACAAAGTTGCTTCTATGATATACTAGAAAGGTTTGCAAAGCAATCTGGGTTGGATTATGATTACGGCAGAAATGAAGTCTAATAAAGGATAGAACGGCATTGCGAGTGTGAGAAATGTACGCTTGAAATGATCGAATTGCGAGGTCGATCAAGTTCGATACATCCACGGCTCTCGGCAACATACTTCAATGCTGAAAATTGTGTATCTTAGTCTTTAATCTTTTCGAATGTTAATTCAACGGTTTGACGATCACGCAAGTTACCGGGATTGACGATGAATCTTGTGATGGACCAAGCTCAGAGACTTTCAAACATGCACTCGATGCAGCGATCTTGACTATCTTATGTGATAATTATCGTTTTATTGTATTTATATTACTTTCAATAAATATGCATATTTTATATCTCTGCAAAATGTTTTACTCGATTTTGCAATCTCGTCACGCTTGAAGAATTGTTTGGCTGTAATGTTAATTCACAGTTAATTCAATTTGCGATCATCTGTTACACGACTGAGAATTGATTGCTTTGCGATAACGCTGAATGCCAACGGCAGTCAGTGGAATTTGCAGTGTCTCTTTAAACAGTATTAAATCATCTATAGTACCATCGTCGCGATATTAAAGCTTGTCGCGTGGTCATGTCAGGATAGACGCTCTTTTAATATCTAAAGAAAAATATCAACATAGCATATTAGAAAAATTAATATAAGAACGGTCATTCGTTAAATTCTGTGAAGAAACAATACATAGTGTTTATCTTAACGAAATAACATATTATAAGTATATAAATGAAAAGGATCCTTCTTTGCGAATACCAAGTTTATGATTACATAGGTCTGTGTGAATGAAAATAAATTATATATACTGTGATAAAAAAAGCGATGTATACGCGTCTTTGCGAATCATTTGTTTTCAGAAGACTAACAATTTTTCAGACTGAAGAAAGGAATTTCATCGGTAAAAGAAGATCGAGAAAGGATGCAGTATTGAGTGTGCAATTACTAATAAAAATGAACCATAGACTTACATAACATACATATTCATTATTTATGATTTGCTATGATAATATAATATTTGTCTAAACACAACGCTAACATATATTTCTGTATCTTGCAATTAAAATATGAAATCCTCTTATCAGCGATCTAATAATTACAAGAGTGCTGAGTAACATGTTTCCAAAAATATCATTCTCTTCGTTTATAAATGAGGTCGAACGACATCACGTGTGACTCGCAGATAACGAATTACTTATAACTTTTACATGGTTCGTTAATCTGTACAGTTCCATCGGACGTCATTCCACAATATAAATCTGCCTATTCAGGTAAATGGGATGTAGATACATTTCTGAGGAACCAGTTAGACATTAATTTAAAAACGCAATAACAAAGCACTAGGAAGTAACCCGTGGTGGTAAACACGACATTCCAACAAGGATAAATTTAGGCACGATTATTGCTATACGTTAATTACAAGTTGTAAGTATTGCTATACGTTACAAACGATAAGAGTTGAAGTAGAAAAACCTATCTTAGAATATTAGTTGTCATGTTAACCAACACGATTAACACCGCACTTTTATAATTTCACAAAAAGTGCTCGACATTAGGATAAACTAAATATCAATTAATTTTCGATAATATGTAGTCTCATGCTGTTCGGTAACCTCAGAATCGTCAGACAAATAATTACGTCAATGCAATTTTGGAGAGAAATACGAAACATATATGTGGACCATACGAAATAAAACTTAAGAGCTAGGCAATAAAATATAGGTTAATTAATTTATATTTAGATCGTTAATTAATTGAAAACCAGCAACGGCACCTAATAATTTTCATACTTTATTAAAAAAGAAGGCAAGTGTCAGCATCTTTCGCGTCAATAATATTATGTACCTCATTATTTTAACTTGCTTTAGCTTCAGGAAGAGAGGTAGAGGTATTTGTATCCATTTCTTTTTCACATCAAATCAAGCTACATTAATGTGGCGAGTAAAAATTTGTTGATATTTCTTTGAATATCCTATTCCGATGCACTTTCATATAGTTTACATTATGATAAAAAATCCATACCGCTACTTAGCAGTCTATACGTATAAGGCACATTGCATTGTTTCTCTTCGAATATAAGGGAAAATTTTGTCCTATGTTTCGTTATTAGTTTAAATATCATGACTAAAATACTATTTTATACGAACATCTCTGAGAAAGTAAAAGAATTGGAGAGATAGTATATTATTATAAAAACAAGAATGCAGTATTAGTTATAAATGCAAAATGGTCGGAAATGTAAAAATAAAAATATCTAATTGATAGTCAGTGTTTATATCGAGTAACAATTAATATAAAATTCTCGTCAATAAAAATAATAATTAACAAAAAAAAGTAAAGAGACTGTTTAGACTTGAATCAAATTAATGTTAACTTTCTTGATACTTTTAATCGTATAATTTAAATTCTTAAAAAAATATCGGAAACGGAGAAATGACATAACTGTGGCTAATAGTAAAAAAAAGTGACGCTTTACAGAAAACTGCATTGCATGAAAAATATATCTTATATTTAATTCTTAATTGTTGGTCAAGGCTTATGTCGCTTCACAAGTTGTCAGAATATTAATTGTAATCGGCATAATTTACTGCAGTTACGTGAAGTTTGGTCCCATCATGGAATTCTGACAAACAAAACTTTGTCATCTAGAAGCCGAGGACGCTCAACTTGAATACTTATAAAGTACGTCTTGGAGCATTTATGTCAAACTGAATTTTGATATTTCTCAAATGGATTTCTTTTACCAATAATAGAGAGTATTTTGAAATACTCAACTTTATCATCAAACAGACGTCACGAGCAAGTTGATACCAAGATAAAAAGTAATCAAATTTATATCAAGATTCTTCGTGAAACACTTTGGTCGCCGAGATATCTGATTATTCGATCTCCTAAGATGACAGTTCGCCGTTTCGATCAAACAAATTGCCTCGGCCGAATAACAAGGGCCGAGCAGAGGCGCTAGCGCGAGTATTGTATCACGTAATTTTTGTTTTAACATCGTCTCTTCCGTCGGCAAAGCGCTCTAATTAAGCGCTCCGATCGAAGCGGCGGCCAACAGTTAGCGAATGGAAGCTCGACCTGAAAAATATTTAAATCTGCGCCGGCTCGACATAATTAGCGGGTAGCATGCCGTGTCGTCCCGTACGCTGTACCAGTCCGGTCATCCAACCCTCGTCGACGGCTGTGCAGTTGACGATCAAATCGCCATCGCAGAAGCTCACTTCGTCGAGATCCTGCGCCTCGTAGTCATACATCGCTCTGTACACTCTCTGCGGAAGCAAAGAAAACCATCTCCATAGAAAATAGATACATCATAAAACTGTACATCTATTTGGCGCATATTATTTTGAAAGTTCATTTAAGAATGACATTTCGTAATAGTCTAAACTTTTTTCCACGAGCTCTTTCGTGAATTGGCAGACGTAAAGGTTTTATAACGCGTAGCAAATCAGTCATAAAAGACACAATGCGACAATAAGCAATAAAAAAGATATTTACTCCAACGTTGGAGGGCGGTGGCGGTGATTGATGCTGATGCTGAAGTTGATGTTGATTATTGTTTATCGTTGTGGCCGGCGTTAACGATCCATAGTATTCGTTCACTGGGTCGATGTCAGCAACCGAGCCGATTTTACGTGTCGGTGGATTCGTCACTGCAAAACGCCACGTGTTTTTATATGCGACGTATAACTTACGGACAATTTCCTACACTTGTATACGCGACTAGAGATATTTAATTCGAGATAAGCGTCCTTTTGTCCTCCGGTTAGTAACAACTGTTATTTGGCGCGATCCTACGATCCGCCACATGAATTATTCCGTGGGTTTTCAGCGGGGAGCGAACGCGGAACCGCAGAATGAAGAACGTTAAACAAAGGCGATTACACTTTCTATTTTCCCAACGAGGTGCACGCGGCGGTGTCGCAACGATTAATTCCAGTGCAAATGGCTTCGACGATTTGTCTTTGTGATGAATCGCGTGTGGCGACGATGAAGGCATAATGATGCAAGTACGGGCGTTTAAAGTCCGAGGAGACAATAAAGCTTTGGGCGACAACACGATCGTAATATATAAGACTGGCGTTATACAATAGGAGTAGCTAAGCGTTTGTCTTCCGTAAAGAATAATCCGATTAAAGCACGATCTATTAAAACCAATTACGCATGCGGACGCGGGTTCCGTCCCACACGGTCGCAAAGTCGGTCGCCGAATGCGCGACCTCGGATGAACGTCGCGATAAAAAAAAGAAATACACGTCTCATTAAAATTCTTCCGTCATTAATCTTCCACGAATCTTAATTATTGGAACACAGGCTGCGAATACGCGTAAATTCCGATACACCCACGAATGAATAATCGTCCGCGGACTGTAATTGACGCCAATCGCAAATATCGTTACGTTTAATCGTATTAGAATTCGTATATCGAAAGTAATAACGTTACACATCGAATATGCAAATCGCATGCGTTTATCATCTCAATCCAAGAGGCCTCGTCACTGCACACTTGATCCTCGTATAGTATTAATATTAACGTTATAAAATATTACCGATCTCTTGGTAAATAAAATCAACTCGATTATTCTATGTTATAAGTCATGCAACGTCTTTACGCAGTGAAAGGTCGGTGCAGCGATTGCAGCCGCGAAGGTAAACGCACCTGGTCCCTTGTCGCTCGTATAAATGACAGTGGTAGCAGCTTGCCTTGCGGAATAGGGACTCGGCCTCGCTTCGCTAAGGGGATCGTAATCGGCGATCCTACCTGGTGTCCTCTGCACCGGCGAATTCGCCGTCCTTGCGGGCGGCGGATTGGCGTTTATGCTCGACGCAGGTGCAATCGTACCGTCTGTGTACTCTACGTACTCTATATCAACAATGCACGAAACAAAGGCTAGCCGTACGTTCAACAAGAAGCGTCTGCGATCCGCCCACCGCATATCGAGTGCGTGATGAGTCGCGAAGATGGGGAGAGAGAGAGAGACAGAGAAAAAAAGTGATACGGTGTTAAGGACCCATCTGAATCTCGTCTGAATTTCACGCCCGTCGTGTCGGTGGACTGATGGCAGCGGTACGTGTGCACTCACGATTGTGTTATTCTTCACGTACGAATTGCAAATGAAATGCGAATCACACACGAGTACGCAGCGAATCCACAAATGTTGATGCACACATAATGTATAATATGCGGTTTAATAATTACATAGATGTCACTACGTCAATCGTTAGTTAACAGTTGTTAAAAGTTGAACACGCGCGTACGATTAATACGATTAAACTCGGATGTATGTGCATGATCAGCTATGAGTTAAGGTGGTTATTTCGTAAAATCATTTGTGTGAGAATTGTTTCAAATTTTTAGTCTATTCCTTACATTAATACGTGCAAAATAAGACTAATTGAATTAAAATTGACCGTCTCAAAGTTCTACAAAAACATGTTAAAGTTTGCCATGTTACACGAAATATTACGTGTAAAACACGGTAAAAATATTATTGCACGTAACGATATAAGTCGTTGTAATATTATTGCACATATTATTATTTTTAGGCTTAACGGTGAGTGCGATTCCTATAAGAAACAAATATGTTACAAAGTAAAATAAAACGAATAACTGGAAAGGAAATTCAAATTATTGGCCGTTCCGTTTCAACAATTAAAACTGAAAAATGGGAAGAATTATGTAGTAGGCACGAGTATAGTGTAAGGAGTGGCAACAGCGCCTCAAACTGTAATCTTTCGAATCTATTTGATATTATGTACGTTATAAATGTATTCTTTAGAACAATATTGCATCAAGATATATCATTGTAATAATTGAGTGCTGGTTCCTGTCTGGAAGAAACTTCTGAGCATTACTGTCGCGAAACAACTACCTTAAGACGAAAAGTTAGATAAAACGGTTGCATAAGTTGTAAACCACGTCGACGTGTATGAAAATAAAAGAGAAGGGTGTTCTCAACCGTTTAATCAAATCACGACATTTTCCCAAAGCTAATTTAAACATCAAACGACAAACCTTGCCACAGCAAGCTCACGATTTTTTAAGTCTGTGACACAGTAAAGCCAACGGCACACGATACTATTTTTCCTACTGGATTGCTTACGAGAGCCAATCAGGACGCAGAGTTTTCGATCAGGTGACTCAAAGCTGAATCCTGGTTGGCTCTCGTAAGGAATCCAGTAGGAAAAATAGTATCGTGTGCCGTTGGCTTAAGTTGACATGCTTATTGTTACAGTCCAAAACGATACAACGAAATAATGTCCGAAACGTAAAATCGTATGGCTATATTTCCTATCGTTTCATTACACTTTTCGTAAAGAAACTAAAAAGAAACACACGATATTGCAATAGAAAGAAAACGTTACTTGTATGCGTCGAAGAGTTCATCGCCTACCTATTTGCTCGCCGTTTTCCCCAGTCATTGTCCTCTTTTGCTCCATGATCGCCTTCTTCTCAAGTTCGCCGTGATAAGCAACATTCGAGATGATCTTACTGTTCTGCTTGATTCTAAGAGTCTCCGGATCGTCCGCGACTTGCGTAAACTTCCCCTTCGCCTTCTCGAACTCGGCGTGATACTTGACGTTACTCTGTATCTTCGTGTTCTCCGCGATACGCTTCAGCTCCGGTGTCTCCGCCATCGTGGTGGCTTTGGCTTTTGGTATGTGCCTTTCGTGACAGATAAGGAGAAAAAAATACCATCATTGACGCAGAACGACGTTGCTACGAGAAATCGTCTATTCGACGCTGAAGAACGCGGGGAATTCGTTCGCGGGGCATTTCAAACAATTGCCAATAATACGAAAGCCGCAAATCACGTCGAGTTTAGAGCACCGTTTCGGAAAAGGTGGGCAAAATTCCACATCTTTTTGATAAAGTCCATGCCGGTAAAAACCGGTATTTTCCGGAAAAAAAAACCGGTCTTCTCTATTAAAAACGATAAGATAAGTAGAAAACTTTACTGTTTCCCGCATAAACTAAAAATGAATGTAAAATATTGTATCTCCGAAGTTCTCGTTTTAAAAATATGTATTAATTTCAATAAAACAATTTTTTTAATTAAAAAAACCTATTATATTGGTTTCTTTTTAAAGTGGTGATTTAATATCTACGATTCAGTGTTTAAAACAAACCTCGTTTTTCATAAAGACTATAAGAAAAGACTAATATCTATATAAATATATTTTACATCAAGAATTATTTGACGCCAGTACATGACGCCAACAATAATTAAGCTTTCAATCGGCCGTAACTGGCAATGTGTTTTTAACACAGAAAATTTCTTGCGAAAAATATCACCTCAGCCAGGGTTTGAACCTGGACCTCCCTACACTCTAGGCGGGCGTCTCACCAATTCGGCCACCGAGGCAAATATCGTATATTTTAATTAAGTATTGGTTATTTTTATCAGTTTTACCAATTCACGCCATCGGATAAAGCCCGGGACGGTAAAAACTGTAATGTACCATGGTTTTTTCCACCCCCTGGATGCTTCCAGCCAACCCTGGTTTCGGGACGCACCCGGTACATCGCACCTCACACGCGTTTCAGTTTCGCGTTTCTCTTTCTCCGGCGGGAATATCTCGCACATACGAGCCTCTCGCATTATTTTACATGGATTCCCCGGGGCGACCTCCTACACAAAGGAAACGTGCAAGTTCGCTGACTAATGCAAGTTCCAAGTGAACGACAAGCGGTCAACGACGTCAGTCTTATCGTGAGCATCCTTCGTGCAGCACGTCGATTATAATAGCTAATTATAGAAGAGGAGACTAGCGTAAAGCGGATTTATGTTCGTCGACGTCATGGTTACGCGACTGAGTTTAAAAACTTCTCGCTTATTTCCTACATGATGTATGATGCGTACAATACGCTTAATGTGTGCCTCGCACACGTGATAACGTGATATTTGCATTCTTGCTATCGCCGCTGCTCTGTGGAGCAAGTATTATCTGTATAGAAATTTAGATCTGCCGGGACACACGTACATTTTTGTATAGACAATTTTTAACTACACTGATAAAAAATTATCTTAATCCAAAACAATATCACTTTACTCAAAAAAATTATTCATTAGTGGCTTCTAATGGCTTATTAACTTAAATTTAAAAAATAATAAACAAATTAAAACGTGCATTGCTTTAATTCAAGTATTTATTAAATATCAAAGAATAGATTATTTTTAATTTAAAAAATTTAATTTTAATTCTCTAATACCAAGATGTAATTTTCACAGCAAAGAAAATTGGATTTCTTATTTGACAAAAGCAACGATTTCATTTAATAAATAGTATTTTCTATCTCATGAAATCTTTCTTTGAATGTAGAAAATGTAACGATTTGAATTACTTTACTTAATATAATACATAGATTTACTTGAAATTTTTAAGTAAATCTATTTACTCGGTTAAAAACTTTTTTTGTCAGTGTAGTTTGATCCTTTTAGGACAGATATTGCCTTCTCATACAAAAGATACATTACGTTTCTCATTTTTATATCATTTTGCATCAATTAACATTAACTACATTAGTTACACGTGTATATACGTTAATGAAATGGCTATATATATTGTGGAATAACGACAACATACATTTAATTGTGACAAAAATTCTAAGTTATCGTTAAGTAACTATTACTTAGACGGTTTGGCATTCCGGACGGGTAATGCGTGTCTCGAAAGCGTTGTAATTATAAGAACTGATTAATTGGGTAGGTAAGAAGTGTACGATATATTCTGAAACCGCCGCGCGATTAACATATCCTGAGGTGAATTGAGCGTGCATAAACGAGCTACTTTAAGCGGATAATTCGCCTCGCCTGCGTAAAGCACTTTTTCTTACACACGACGCGTGTTAACGTAAAATAAGGATAATTATTGATCCGGTAGCCGAGTGAAATTCGATAGAAACCTTTTTGGCAGGCAACCCGACCGATTTAATCGCCCGGTATCTACTTAACGAGATAGAAATCGGCGCGTGAACGCATAACGATATGCGCCTGCAGTAAATGACACGCGTGAGAATGCAATTTCAGTGACACGCGTGAACGTATCGACAGTATCGTATTGCGATCCGCATTAAAAATACCGACGCTGACGCAATTAAGGAAACGCTTTGCATTGTGCCGATAATTGAAAATTCCGGTACGTTAACCCATTACCCGGGTGCTACTTTCAATCGCGTTTCACGCGACAAAGGTGTGCGCGTACGTGTGCGCCGTAAAGGCGGGTAAATTTGTAATTTACTATTTATTCGCGTAAAGATATATTTTTCGTCACGAGTAAAACAAAATTGCTCTCGTTCTCCTGAAGTAAGTGTATTTTTTAGCAAATTGCACCTCTTGCGGCGCTAATCCGCCGTATCTGGGATCGTGCGTGTAAAATAATTATCGAAAGTAAATTGTACAAATCGCGCATGATAACGCACGAGCATTGACTGGCTCTCTTTGCCGGGCGTATACGCGAGACGCAATCGCGATTTGTGTCACGACTTCGTTTCCCATATACGGCGCGTTGTCTGACCCGGTAATTGTGCCACGCCATTACGTAATACTCCGGGCGCACCGTGCACGAATAATAGGCATGTACTCCGGCTCTCTTTGTTCGGAGAAGACGAGGGATAGTCATTGTTGCCATGCCCGGCGAGGAAGAATTATCCTGTCGGTCGATGCGCATCCGAGTTCCTTGAATTTAGCGTGGAAAAGGGGGAAGGTCCGCTAAAAGTAACGTTGAGAACGACCGCGGACGGAGGAAAATCGGGGAAACAATACAAGCCCGTCTTCTCGCGCGACTCTGTTGCGCGTGCCTTTAATTGTTATACGGCAAATACGAGATAATAACATAATATGTAGATACGATAAGAGGTAACCGTTTCGCAATTTTTTCAGATAGTCCCAACCGAGATGTAGCTATGATAGAATTATGGAGATTGAGAAGACGAAACGGCTTCTAAAGTATCTCTACGTTAATATTCGCATTTAATAAGAAGCAAGATTGTTGCAAGAATTACCTGTCCGTGAAATATATTAAAATAAAAACTCACAATTTGATTTACTCATTAATTCGCCAGCTTGCGCGCCTAAGTCACGAGACAAAGTTTCTTTCAAGGCCTTTCACAGAAGTCTGCAAATACACGGTGCGATTGTACAATTGATTTTTTTTTCTCCAGGGATCCACGGACCGTGCACCGTCCCCGATTAATACGCAACAAAGTGATTCATCGAATCATTTAACCGCGTATATGCATGCGCGATGACTAACCTCTTAACATACGCTTGTCTACGTACTATGATATACGTCCGTAATATCGAATTTTTCTGACGCACTCGGGGTGTATCTTAAGCGGAAAATGTGGGAGTTTCATGCCAATACAACATACGGCGCGAGTAAAATAAACGCACAGCCGTCCGAGTGTAGATTCGAGATGATCAAACCACTCGTAGAGACATGACGCATCTGATGCGCAATACAATGAGAATTTATTTGAGAAAAGATCCATATCTTACTCTTATATTCGTTTTACGAATACAATGCAAACAAAATTGCAGTAACGCTGTTGTTTCTGATATTATAAATACCGAAAGATAACAGAGCAACAGAAATTTACGTGGATGTACACGGTTGAAAAATTTGTGTTTTCTTGTTGAAAAAAAATGCCGGTTAAAATTTTTGTGTTAAACGTTTAACACATTCATGTGTTAACTTAACACATTGCTCTTGTGTTAATTGACCGCAAGTGTGAAATTATTAAAATAACTGAAAAGAAATGTTAAAACAACACAATGTGTACTTAGTTTTAATCTGACACAATATATATGTTCTATATTATTAGCAACAAAATTTATCTGTTAAAAGTTACAGAATAAAATGGTGATTTTATTGTATATAACATAAGTGAGTGATTTGGAACCGTCATTTGACTTATTACGTCCGTAAAATGTAAAAATTGCATGTTTCAAATTCATTTTGTCATTAAAGATATGTTAATTTTACACAAAATTTATTTAAAATTATTTTGAGATTTGCATTTATTTTGCGTTAAAATATTAACAGAGTATGCACGCGACACTGCATGCTTGATTTATCGAGTACTACGTACAAAAGTGCCACCAGTGTACTGGAGAGGATAACATCTGTTGCACCTGGTTATCGCACCGGTCAAATAGCAGCAGTGCGACTGCACCGATAAATTACAGCCAAGAGTCATAACACCGCTTGATAAACGAATAATTGAACACGCATTAAACACATTAGTTATATTGGAATCAGAGTTTAAAGATTGTCCGATCTGATAATAGATAACAAATTTAAGTAGCAAACATATTTCATAATTTACAAAGCTCTTTGCAGGGTCGTTTCTCTACTTGAGAAATTTGTGGGATCACTTTTTTGAATCGATACGAATTTCAGAATTATTGTATCGATCTGTCACAAGAAATTTCTGAGCGTAAACTTAATTCCTTTTAAATCTACCACGCCATTAATGAATCCGCGCGAGTTGAAATGTCAGTTTAATTTAGCGAATGCGTTAGAACTAAAAATATATTCTATTTTTACATTCCAATCTTTCCCAATCCTGACCCGATCGAAAGTCAAGGGTTTCAACATCTAAATTGTACGCTGTCGATCTTATAAAGTTTCATAAGGTGTTTTTCTCTTATTATTGGTACG